ACTTAATGGCATTATATTCTTCCTCGTCCGCAGTGCGGCTGTTGGAAGGGATAGAAATAAAAGACAGTATAGACAACTCTTTTCAACTGCTTACCTGTAAGGAGGGGAAAAAAATGGGTGGTAACTAAAGGGGAAGGTGTGGTCAAGATGCTTTTATCAAGATGGTAGTGGTGGTTGTTACGTGCCATCAAGTTGGTTCTGACTCATAGCGATCCTGTATAGGGGTTCCAAGGAGCACCAGATGGATTTGAACCACCGACCTTACAGCTAGCAGTTCAATGCTTATCCTTTGGTGCCACACCAGGCAGGACTCCATAAAAATGTATGTGTGTAAGTAGTTTGTCTCTACATTAAAGACTGAATAGTAAAGGAACTTTGAAGAGGCTAATGGAGGGAATTGCTGGAACATGTACCTGAGAAGGTGAGAGTTGCTAAGGTCTAGTTATCAAGTGGAGAAGTTGGCCTTTGCTAGGAAAGTCATCTTTTCATTCATAAAAGCAGGAACAAGTTAGGGTATGTGCAATAGATGCCGGGGTGTTGTGCTGGGCATGTGTGGAATTCTCTTCAGATGGCTTTTATTTTCTCAGTGAAATTGAAAGCAAGATCATCAGCTAAGAGTAATGATGGGGGGAGGTTTTGAAGGTTTGAGGAGAGAGGGGAAAGAACCAAATGTTCTGTCAGGAGAGGAGGCGCTGAATTGAATACACAGATGTATTGTGGAGGCGGCATTTTGGCACACTTAAGGCTAACGCTCATGATTTTAAAGTGAGGCCAGTTGACGTGGTTGGCATGGTTTTCTCCAGCAAAGTTCAGCTATTTCTATTGAGACATATAAGGTAGATCGAGCGAGATTGTGGTTTAAAGAAGTGAGTACAATAACGTGAGAGGGACGAGGAAGTTGAAAGTGTATGTTTTCATAGTTGGTTATAACAAATGATTGTGCTAGAAAGGAAAGCTATACGGGGATGAGGACCAATGAAAATGGTGGTAAGAGCAATTGAAGAATTATTCTAATTGTGGCACCAGAGGGCAAAAATTGGAATATAGGAGGTGGAGGTCAGAGAGGGAGAATGGAAATTTAGATTCTGGAGAGTTTAACATCTCATGATTGCCAGGACTCCAGGATGGCCACGGAAGTAAATGACTATAGAAATATGGAAGCCAAGATTATGGAGAGGGTGTAGAGGGCCTTCAGAGAACTGAGAGGCGAAGTTGTTAAAATGAACTAAGATTACAATAGGAGTAGCATTGAGAAGGAAAAAGGAATAGCGAGCCAGTTCTGTTGTACTCAAGAAATGACAGACAACTGGTACCTGTTGGGAATTGGTTGTTGTTGTTGTTAAGTGCCATCGAGACTGTTCTGATTCATAGCGACTCTGTGTGGGGTCTCCAAGGCTGAAGTCTTTGCAGGAGCAGAAAGCCTCATCTTTCTTCTGTGGAACAGCTGGTGGGTTCAAATCTCCAATCTTGTGGTTCGCAGTCTCGTGCTTAGACTCCAGAGCCACTGTGCTCCCCCTGGGAACTGATAGATATCTAAAGCAAGGAGGGATAAGAGCTGATATAATCTGATGTCATTGACTCTGAAACTAGGTGTCATGTAGAAAGGAAGACAGAGAATGGTCTGGAAACATATGTGAGGAGCCAAGAGTCTCTTGCCTCGCCTTCAGGTGCTGTGGTACAGGTGATGTGGGGAATAAGAAAGTTACCACGTGACAGGACCTCAGCTGTGTAGATCTGTAAAGACAAACTGATGAAGGGAACTGTTGCTATGCTTTAGTCAGGTTTGATTAAAATTATGATTAGATTTTGAAACTAGACATTTTCACTTGGTGTACATCAGATATTTTAAGATCACCATTTAAGCGTCTCATGTGGCGCCCAGGAGCTCTGGCAGCATAGTGGCTTATTTGTTGCACCACTAACTGCAAGGTCAGCAGTTTGAATGCACCAGCAGATCCACAGGAGAACCATGAGGCTTTCAGCTCCCATAAAGATTTACAGCTTCGAAAACCCTTTACAGGGTTGCTCTGAGTCAGAACCAACTCAACGGCACACCACCACCACCATATGGAGCCCTGGTGTGGTCCTGTAGGAAATGCACAGACTGTTAACCACAAGGTCAACAGTTCAAACCCACCAGATGCTCTGTAGAAGAAAGATGAGGCTTTCTGCTCGCGTAAGATGAGGCCTCTGCTCCCATTAAGATTTACAGCTTCGGAAACCCCTCTACAGGATCACTATGAATTAGAACTGACGCAATGGCAATGACTTTGAGGGTTTTTTTGTTTTGTTTTGAATGACATTAAAGAGCCCAGGTGGGGCTGTAGGATAAGCAGTTCAAACCCACCAGCTGTTCGTCGGGAGAACACAGAGGCTGTCTGTGCCTTTAAAGATGGACAGTCTTGGAAAGCCTATCGAGGGCTGCTATGAATCAGAACCAACTTGATGGGAGTGGGCTTGGTTTGGTTTTGGTTTTATGGATGCTGGAATCCTTGGGTGATGCAAACAGTTAATGAATTTGGCTGCTAATGGAAAGATTAGAGGTTCAAATTTACCCAAAGGCAACTTGGAAGAATGGCCTGGCCATCTACTACTGAAAACTCAACCAGGGAAGACCCTGTGGAGCACAATAGTACTCTGACACACATGGGGTGGCCATGAGTCAGAATTGATTCAATTGCAACTGGTAAACTGGTGTATGGATATTGTAATTGTATGATTTGGTGATTATAACTGAAATCACAGAATCAGTGAAAAATGGGACATACATACTTAAAAAGAACACTATGACTCTATAGGATAAACACTGGACTGTGAGCCACAGGTCAGGGAATAGAAGCAAATACTGTTGAATGATGATCTACAGAGGAGATTGTAATCATTGCAATGAAATGATGAGTCTAAAACTGATGCTCTCCCATGGAAACTATTACTCAAGTCACAATAAAAACTTAAAAAAAAAAGTATAGCCTCAGACACTACAGAGTTGCTGTGAGTCAGAACTGATCCAACAGCATTAACAACAGCAACATTTACATAAAATTATTTCTGTATTTAATATCTATGTTTAGACGATGGCAAGTCATAAAGTGTTGCTACTAGGATTTCAGTTCATACGTGAACAGGTTTATTCCAAACAAAGCCTGTTTACATATGTCCCCATGATCAGTGGAAGGCCGCACTGAAGACTAGGTCTCTCAGTAATACACGTGTCTTAGTCTCATTAGGAGGCCTGTGAATAGAAGGACCAATCAAAACAGTGGCTTCCAAGGGGATCTGCTGGGCTAGCTCAGTTCAAGGCAGAGAGGCCAGCTCAGGTTATGTTGGATGTTTGGGGGATTCCAAAGAAGTAATCTTGATAGATTTTCTAGGAGGACACAGGATTATCACTGGGAGTTATTATTAAGAAGTTTTAAGAAAACTGAAAACTGCATTGGTGAGAAGAAGGTCAGGAAAGTTGTGCTGGGGGATTTTTTTCCATTATGATGATGTACCTGCTCATTCTTCAAGGGTAGCATTGATATCCTACAAGAATTTCATTGCGGAACCTTACCCTATCCATTCTAAAGCCCTAATATTACCCTCGAGACTTCTTTTTGTTCCCGAAATTCAGAGAACACAATTTTAATCCCTCAAGAATACCACTGTTTTGAGTGGCTCTTTTTTTTTTTTTTTTTTAAAGCACCCTGATGAGACTGTGGTTGCAGAAACATGTTTAAACACACTTTGCTTGGAATAAATCCATGCAAGTGTGACCTGGAGCCCTAGTACCAATATTATTTACTTATCTTCATGTTTATTATATATTTTATATGATTAAGGGAAAACATTTTTGGAAGCAAATATATTGCACAAATCAAACTGTTAACCGGAACATAGCTGTCACATCTGAAGAATGGTATTCCCTTCAACAGGAGGGAGACACTCACCTAGTATACTACTTTGCATAATTAAATAAGAAAAAGGGTTCTTATTTAATTAAGAAAAAAGGTTCTTATTAATTATTGAGAAACACTTGCAGAATTTCACTTTTCAAGAGACAGGTTCCTTAATTGTGATGAAATTGTGCCAAATGCAAAAAAGAATTTTTTTTATCCTTGATAGATTCATCTCTTTTAACTTTTCTAAACACACCTACACAATGTGTGCTGGTTTCATCAGAAAATTATCACATTATAGAAACTAAGAGTGCAGTGGGATAAAACCTGATTTATAGAACTTTACCCAGAGTCTACAGGTGGGAGCAGCATTGAATAGAATCCCCCTTTCTCTTTATACAAAATTTTGAGTTTTAATTGCATTGATTATTTGCTCTGCTTGGTCTAGTTCTATTTTTAGAGATAAATCAAGCATGTTTTGGTATCATTTATATGCTTTTGTAGATTTTTGGACTTTTCAAACCATTCATTCATTCATTTATTCAATTTCTCCAGTGAATATTTGAATGTTTCGTATGTGCCAGATAGCAATGAACAAAACCAAACATATTCTGCCTTTTTGGAGCTTACACGACTTTTATAGTGGAAATCGGAGACAAGGAATAAATATCAAATTAAGTATAGAAATCCATAAAAATTTAAAAGTTAGCTGAGTAGCACAAAGAGTTTGTGCTTATCTAACTAACCTAAAACACATTGTGATTGAAACTCTCCCAGTGCATCACAGAAGCAATGCCTGATGATTTGCTTCCATAAAGATTATGACTGAGACAAAAGCGTATGGTACAGTTTCAGACTATAACACAGGAAGCTGGTCTGAGTAAGAACAGAGCTGTTGTTGTTTTAATCGATGAAAGTAAAGCAAGATCAGGGAAATGGGGTGTGTGTTGGGGGGGCATTGCTGTTTTACACAGAAGGGTCCGATCAGCACGAAGGCCCTGAGAGAACATGTGTGATGTGTGTGAGGATGTAATATTAAGGATAGACCAGGGTACTTGGGGCAGAGTGTGTAAGGTAAGTATGTAAGAAGTGAGGGGATTTCATCCATTTCTTTTATTTCAGGAGTTAGTGACCTTCAAAGATGTGGCTGTAGACTTTTCCCGAGAGGAGTGGGATTGCCTGGATTCTTCTCAAAGGCATCTGTACAGTAACGTGATGTTGGAGAACTACAGGATCTTGGTATCACTGGGTAAGGATATCTTATCCCCTACAAAATTCAGCCTCTACTCATAAGGGGTTTTTGTTGTTGTTTTTTAATGTTTTATTGTGAATTATGTGATAGTTTACATGGAAGAACATTAGCTTTACATTTATCCTATCGTATATCATTTCATTGCCATGGTTACAATCCCCTCCATGCATCATCAACCACCCAAAGGATATACCCTGCAAGCCTGCCCCCCAGTTGTCAGCACA